AGTTAGTTAAACCGCGAAACCTCCATTGCGATTACCATGCTATTCTAATGGACGTAATCGAAATTGCAGGTCGCGAGCGGAAAGCAGGAGCTACGTGGTAGCTGTCAATTGGAGTAACCGCTCGCTGACGGTGGATCTGGGTGAGTTTGGTGAAATTCCAGAAGTCGCTGAGGTCTACGTCACAAGCGTCAACTTCAGAGGCGCCTCTTCAAAGACAATGTAAGTGCTTATAACCTTCGGCAATATTTCTGAGTTCCGAAGCATTGACAGTTTTAGACTATACGTATTACTCACGCGTCAGTAAAGTCGGCGAATGGTGTTTTTTTTTGGTTTTTTTAGTGACAGATATTCCGCCTAGACAATAATATTGTGAATCCACCAATAATCGCTCTGAATTATGGTACAATTCCCTCCGTCACAATATTGATTCGAGTTTGAGACTATTTCTTATCGAAATGTTACGTTGTCTATCTGGCACGCCAGTTTTTAATGCTATTAACATTCTCGTTTCATATTCAATAAGTCCTGTTTCTTAGCAATTCCTTTCGTGGAAATTCACATTCGTTCGATATAATGCAGTTAGAATTAAAATAAATTCCTTATTATTATATTACCGCAACTCACAAGCTCAGGTCATAATTTGTCATTAAAATAGTAAGTTATAATATGTAGAGACAACATAAATATTTTACTGAACAATCAGCCTCTAAAGAGTAAAGTACTGTATCTGTGAAAGTGTTCAATTTGTGCGTATCATTCGTGTGTTTCAGACAAACAAACTCCATTCTACTTGAAGCAAGAGCTGGAGTAGTTCTTTCATACATGCCAGAGGCAAGATACTGATTTATAAAACAGCTTTGTATGTCGTGTTGTAATAAATATCAGCTATTTATTTGTCAACATGGGTTGCTTTCTTTTGTTATGAATAAATACAGATAGGCCCCGCTTTACGACGCTTCATTTTACGCTGTTTCACATTAACGCCCCTTTAAAATAATTATGAAAAAATAAAAACAAATTAAAAAGAAAATTTGAAAACGCAAGCATAAACGCGCACAGGAAGTGGGTACCTACGCAGCGCTAGTGTCGGCGTCAGTTGCTTTCTCCTCGTCCGCCAGTGCCATACACTAGAATTCTTCCTCGATTTACTCCGCTTCAGCTAACGACACTGAGGAGGTGGAACGTAACCCAAGCGTAAATCGCGGCCTATCAGTATTCTTAATTCTGCGGACATAATATTACATTTCCCAATTTGTCTTTCATTTTTCAATGTTGTGTGCATTAAAAACAAAAGAAAACGTCTATGCTTTTTGCACTGTAGGCCTGGTGTTGATAATGGACCAATTGGACCACCATTAAATTCAAGATGCAGTGTCTAACCTCCAAACATAAAAATCCAATACAATATAATTTCTAGATAAAATATGTACATAACTGATATTTTGGCCTATGTAAAATAAAACGAAAGCATTTCCAGAAGTACCAATGGGAATCTATTATTCGGTTTCATGTCTTGAAGTAGTCCTGTTATTTTTGACACGTCATTTTGGAACACGTGTACAATAACTTATCTACAGAGACCATAAAACAATAGTTTGTACTCACATTATGTTCCAAACTAATGTACCAGCAGCAAGCCACTTTTGCAATTCCGGATGCACAGCACTTCTTTCAATCCACAAATAATGCAAAAGCATTGTACTCTCTTTATATAAACAGACAAAACACAACATCTACTTCCCATGTCAAAACGCCCAAAACAACTGAACAGAGCATATAAACGAAAGAGCAACGATAAATGAAAGAGCATTCAGAACGTAAAGAAACAACATGCCAAAGAGCAGCTGAAACAAATGAATGCGTCAACCGCGTATAATTCGTACACTCCACAGCAAAATTATTACAATTTTTAAAAACAGTAAATGGCATTAAAAACAGTCATATTATGTCACATTTTTTTCCACCACAGCTTCCACAACCACAGACGACGTAAAAAAAATACAAGTACAAATTAGACAGTGGAGCGAGAGGGCCGTTTCTGGAACAGAACCCATACAATTTTAACTGAAGAGACTCACCATGACACCATGTAGTATTCAGTATAGAATTTTGTCCTCCGTCTCCTATTTAAAAACTTTACAACTAAGATAAAATACCGCCTGTTATTTTGTATGTGTGAAATCTGGCATCTCACATAGATTGAGAGTGCTGGAGAATGGATTGCTAATGGTAACATTTGAAAGTAATCGACAGGAGGTTACAGAAAATGCTTTATAACCTCTCTCTCACAAACTATTTTGAAGGTTGTCAAATGAAAGTGTCTGTATAGGTGAGGCACGTAGCACATGCAGGAGATATTAGAAACGTATACAAAATTTTGACTGGAAAACCTGAATGGTAGTGACCACTTGCAAGGCGTGACATTAGCATGCATTTTTTACAAACAGGGAGTGAGCATGTAGATTCGATCCATCTGGGTGTTATTCATGAATATGCATGTTGTTACAACCATTGCCATGGCAATGCTGTTATGGGATTTTGGGCCTTATGGGATAATATTTGACAATGCATTTACTGCTTTAGATTTTCCCATCATTCATGATGGGCAATTTACTATAAAAATTATACGATACCTACAATTTCCTGTACAAGCACTTTAGTGAACATTTAATGACATTAATGTAAACCTATAAACAGATTGTGCCACATGTGGCACAAAAGCATCACTTCAAGGATATTCTTTATAAATTTCCTGACACTGATTCATGTAGAAATCACCTGCAAAATCAATGTGTAAGTATCAAGGCAAGATTTAAACACTGATATTACAGTCCATTTTATGTCAACGCTGAGACCAAAATATTTTATAAAAGTTACACTGACATGTAAAACATATTTTTTTACTACCGTTTCTGTATATCACATTCAACACTAAATTCACAGTAAACATTCTTCTGCTTATGTCAACCGATTACTATAAAAACCATAAAGTAATTTACAGTGCAAACCAGGAATAAAAATTGCATACACCAGAATTCATATTTTAATAATGGAAAACATAAACTGAGCACAAAAGTCATGGAACTTAGGAATTCAAAAAAAAGCGACAGCATTCAGCACTAGCCCATCAGCCAGTGCAAGCCTTGACTGTACACTGGTCATTTTACAAACTTCTTCCACCTTATGGCACCACACAATACGTTTCACATTTCTTGCAAACTGTCAAACAAACCTTGTCTCTTCCTGAACGTAACGGCATCCGATATCCAGAGCAAATACATTCCAGCCCTCAAAACAAATATTTCAATATCGCATAAATAAATTACTTGTTCAATATTAATTTAATCACAAATTCTATCTAGAAATAAGGGCATTACATTCAAATAACTGGCATCTATAAACAAAATGTAGTTTCTGTGGTCCTTGTCATGTATGGTACGTAAGAGCCCTTTACTGCCATGCCCAATTCACCAGTTTACTAAACCCTCACTATAACAAACTGTTATGGGATGACAAATTATATTTGTAACAATAAAATTTCATTGTAATGAAAAGAAATAAAAACAAATTAATTATGTAACATTTATTATATTTACAAAGGCCAATGCAGTTTTGAAAATGTGGTACTTCACATACTTTCAATTATATTTGCCAGTATATTTTCATACATTCATCCTGCTATTAAAATGTAAACTAGAATGATCTAACATTTACATGACTATATAAATCATCCTTTATCAACCATGTGTCAAGGTTTAAGCACAGTCCAGCTGGTCACGCATCACATTAGTATACTGGTTAACAGTTTAATTCCTCGTTGGCAGACGCATAGTAGGCAGGTTTAAATCCCTATTCACATATGATCACGGCCATTATGCATTCTTTGCAGAAGAGCTTATATTACAAAGTATTTCAATGATACACAGACATTGAAAATATTTGTCTTACAGTTCACTAAACTGACACATAGACAAATTATGTACAGAGATTAGTCAGCTTGTGAAACGTCTATGTCGAAGACTGAAAACTGTAAATCTGTGTGCTATAATTCCCCTTTAAATTAATAACAATTAATTTGCTGAAGATTTCTGTCTTCTGGGTTGTTGCACTGTGTAGTCTGGTCAATGTTAACCAACGTTTCTGAGGTCATACTGCCTCCATCATCAGGGCGATTCATCTTCACACTCACCGCTGTGCAATGAATTTACTATAACTTAGCCATTTTATTTAAATGTCAGTAGTTCAGACTACACAGCACAGGATAAAAGAGTGATTAGTGAATAAGGAATTTCAAAGAATATAGAAGTGGCCTAATTTAAGGCACTATCCTGGCATTTGCCTGGAGGGTCTGGGAAAACTATGTAAAGCCGTAAAGCCTAAGTCAGGAAAATTGGTCTCTGGGCCGAAATTTAAACCCAGGACCTCGCAAATATGATGCAGGAGTAGTAACCACTCAGCTGTGGCATTTGGGCGCTCTGGTTCTACTGAATAAAACTGTTCTTTCTATCAAAGTGAAAAGGAAGGAAACTGTTTCCCAAATATCCCATAAAAATACTAAATAACAGTTTAGAGAGCATAGCGAACAGGAATTATTGCTATCAGGGCTCACTGGTAACTTTCTACTCCTTAAATACAAGTAATGTAGCCTGCAAAGTATGTGACCTATAACATATTCCCTGGCTGTACAGTATGTCCACAACACAGACTGGTAACAAAATATGGTGGAATGTAAAGTGTTCCAGATACCAATATGGCCATTACGTTTATTATAATAAGGTAGTTTTATACTGGCTGTGGGTTAGGCAGCAATCATCCTTCAAAACACAGACATTTCTTGACATCAATATCTAATATAAATTATATCTCAATCCAGACACACACATAAAATAACTTCTGAATGTCTTTTTGTTGCTCAATACAGGCATTAGTAGTAGGAACATTCAGTCACATAAGAACTTTAAAAGTGTTGTCACCTAAGCTATACAAAATAATTACTGGACAGTTCTTTTCACATCTCAGATCATGGATTTCATCACAGATTCTTATCAAGTATTTCTTATGGCGCGGGTGCCTAAAAAATGGAGAAAATAACTGTTAGTATTTGCATATGCCTACTGTCAGTCACCCCCAAAAAAGTTGGATATGGGGTTTGGTGGGAAAATTTGAAATCAGGGCAGAACATGGTTGGAGTCTGAATAGGAAAACTTGTAATTGGTATGTAACAATTTTGCTGTCTAAATGAGAGATTGAGAACCAGACCACTACCATCACACTCTTAAAGTAAGTCAGCAACACCAAAGGGTGGCACTTTTTAAAATAAACCTGTAGAATCTTCTGAATCTGAACAGGATTTGTTTAAATCTTCACCCTTCCTAACATTCACTTGTAATCCTGTAACTACCCACCTCCACGTCTATTAAGACTACATTTATGGAAAGCAGTTAGCTTACCTTTCAGTAACTAGTCCAATATTCTTCTGGAATTCTTGTTGGTCTGAATCCAACTCAAGATGTGTAGCCAAAGTCTTTACCACAACAGATTCCAGGTTCAAAGCCAACACTTCCACACGAACTTTGGCAGAGAGACACTGAAGTGTGCTGGACATGTGTGACAACATCTGCATCACATGAATTAAATTTGAAACTATGTGGCAACTTAGTGTGAGTCTGAACCTAGAGGAACACCCATCATAAGTGTCTGCTTGCAACAAAATCTTTATTTTGGCTGAATGGATATTCTCAGAGTTTAGTAACGTGATCTTTATGGGCAAATCTTTTATTTTCATTTTTGTCATTTAACAACACTTTCAGACTGTATAGTGTCAAATGAGAGAATGGTGAATAATGAATTTGAAAGGATGTGGAAGGAAGCAATCATGGCTTGATGATAAGGTTCTACCCCAGAATTTGGCTGGAGGAATTGAGGGAAACCACAAAAAAAAAATGTCAGAATAACCAGTCCCCAGGCTAAGATTTGAACCTAGATCTTCTGCATACAAAGCAGGAGTGCTAACCACTTGACCATGGTGTTCAATGACAATTTTATGATGTACATCTAGTTCCCTATTCACTGAATCAGTGCTTCTGCCAAATAACCTACAATATAAAGAAATTACAAGTTCAGTTCTATGTTCTTACAACGAACAGTTGATATACAGTGCCCTTGTAAGTAAATATTACAACAGAAATCTACGCTGTAGGAAGTAACTTTACAATGATTCTCCTTCTGTATATTGTATATGCACCATTATGCAATGCAGCTTGCTGTCCAAACAAAGAACATTAAAGTAATATTTTATTATTTAATACTCATAACTTTTAAACAACAATTTCACTTTACTTCTATTTATAAACAAGTACCTTACCTGAATTTCGTATCTCCTCCGACTATTGTTCTGGTACTTCTCCAGAGTGATGAAGTTGAAATTCAGCAACGGATTTCCTCCTGCAAGATCAGTATTTGGCACTCTGCACTCTGATCTCATCAGCATGCTGTGTGCATCTGCAGATTCACCACTGTTCTTCAGCAATCGTTGTAAAAACTCCACCAAGTCACACATATTCACCTTCCTCTCTTGGAACCTGCAACAGCAATTACCATAATTACTCACATAATTTTCT